AAAAAAAAAAAAAAAAAAAAAAAAAAAAAAAAAAAAAAAAAGTTTAAGTATGGTCATATGCTGTATGACTACAGACAAACTTATTTGTCCAGTTTGCTGATAAAGTAGTGGAAAATAATAGTTTTATTTGGGAAAGTTGTTCTGAAGATTAAATAAGATGATGCACACAAAGCCTTTAGCATGGAGTTTGACTCATTGTAAACCCTAGATAAATGGTAGCTATATCTATTATCAAATGGAGACTCTTGAATTTCTTGTGTCAACCTATTTGACTGTTAATGTAAATATTGTTTGGATATTTACTAAAGGGAAAGGAAAAAGGCCCAGCACCTGTAATACCAGCACTTTGGGAGGCTGAGGTGGGAGAATTACTTGAGGCCAGGAGTTCATGACCAGCCTGGGCAACATAGGGAGACTCCCATTTCTATCAAAGGAAAACAAAATTAGCCAGGTCTAGTAGTGGTTTGTGCCTACAGTACCAGCTACTCAGGAGGCTGAGATGGGAGGATCCCTTGGGCCCAGGAGGTTCAGGCTTCAGTAAGCCATGATGGTGCAATGTACTGCAGCCTTGGTGACAGAGTGAGACTCTGACTCAAAAAAAACAAACAAAATGAAAGAAAAGAAATTAGTCCAGGCACAGTGGCTCACGCCTGTAATCCCAGCACTTTGGGAGGCTGAGGTGGGTGGATCATGAGGTCAGGAGTCCGAGATCAGCCTGGCCAAGATGGTGAAACCCGGTCTCTACTACAAAAAAAAAAAAAAAATTAGCCGGGCGTGTTGGCACGCACCTGTAGTCCCAGCCACTTGGGAGGCTGAGGCAGAAGAATTGCCTGAACCCAGGAGGTGGAGGCTGCAGTGAGCCAATATCACGCCACTGCACTCCAGCCTGGGCAACAGAGTGAGACTCCGTCTCAAAAAAAAAAAAGAAGAAATTAAGACTTTTTTCCTATTATATCCCAGGCACTTTATATATGTTATTTTAGTTCTCACAATAATTATTATCTCCATTTTACAGGTGAGGAAACCAAAGCTGATGGAGGTTTAGTAATTTCCTTCAGATACTCAATGTATATTTATTGAGTAAAGCCTTACTTTGTGTAAGGCTCTGTTCAAGACACTGGGAAAATAATACTGAACAAAAAGACTGGGTCCCTAATGAAACTTACATTCTATCCATAGAGACACACGATATATTAACAATGTAATTACAGACTGTAGTGTTATGAAGAAAATAGACAGGGTTCTGAGATAGAAAATTGTAAGAGGAAGGCTAGGTATGGTGGCTCATGTCTCTAATCCCAGCACTTTGGGAGGCTGAGAAGGGCGGATTACTTGAGGTCGGGAGTTTGAGACCAGCCTGGCCAACATCCTAAAACCCAGTCTCTACTAAAAATACAAAAAATTAGCTGGGCATAGTGGGGTGCCTGTAACCCCACCTACTCAGGAGGCTGAGGCACAAGAAACCCTTGAACCCAGGAGGCGGAGGTTGCAGTGAGCTGAGATCCCACCACCGCATTTCAGCATGGGGGACAGAGCGAGACACTGTCTCAAAAAAAAGAAAAAGAAAAAGGAAATTATGAGGAATGTGCTTTATTAGGGTGGTCAGGAAAGTTCTTTTTAAAAGAGAAATTTCCACTGAGAGCTGAAAAATGAGAATGGGTAAGCCATGCAAAGAGCCAAACAAGAGTTCGGGGCAAGGGCCTGGCCACAGGAAAAAGATAGGAGCTCTGAAGCATGGTAATGAGATTTTTGGCAAGTGCCTTTAGTTGATGGTATGGACAACGGCCAGATCATGAGGACCCTCCAGGGGATGGTAAAGAGTTTGGATTTCATTCCAAATACAAATAAGAAGCTAGTGTAAGATTAAAAAGCAGATGAAGAGCATGGTCTTATTTTCTTAAAAGACATTTCCCTTGCTGAGTAAATGTAGTAGAGGGGTCGGGAGGAGGAGAAAAGAGCGTTAAGAGAGTCTTGTTAAGGAGGTGGATGACAGCAGTACGGGTAAGAGATAAGAGCCTAGGACTAGGGTGATCGCAGGGGAGATAAAATCAACAGCACTCCACTACACATGGAGGAATCAGAGGTTCTGGTTAGCACCAGTGTCTAGATAAGAAAGATAAAGGTGGAGGTAAGAAGATAAGAGTTCAGTCTGGGATAGGTTCCATTTTGAAATGCCAGGGAGCCACCTAAGAGGAGATATCAATAGATAGCTGGCTACGCAAAATAGAGTTGACCAGCGGAAGGCGCTGTAGATGTAGATATTTCCTTGGGGCGGGGTGCATGTAGGGTATTAGTAAGTGGAGGAACACAAAAGGACGTAAGAGCTTTCCACTGCACTGGTTTGTTACTTAATAGGTTCCCATGGGTTGTGTGGCCCAGAAGCGCAGTTGCAAGGACCGACTGCGGCATAGCCTTCTGTTTCAGTATTTCCTGGTAGGGCGTCCCACATCTACAGCAGTCGAGTCACGCCAGGCACCGCGAAGACGCCGAAAAGTTCGCCTGCAGCAGGCGGGAGGTGGCAGAGGGCGCGCAGGCCCCAGCGAGCGCTGCATGCTGGGATTTGTAGGCCGCGGCAGCTGACTTTTGCTCAGCCTTCTTGAGAAGCAACCGCTCGCTGCGCGGCGCGGAAAGGCGGAGCTTGCCGGTGGCCTGCTTCAGTCGATCAGTGCAGTCGTTCTAAAATCTGGGCGGACCTTGCTTTCTTGCTTGGAGTCGCTTTATCGATGATGACTTAGAGTCCTCCAAATGGCATTCGGTGTCCATTTCATCACGATTTGAAACCTGTAGTAGTCTTATCTCTTAACATTTCCTAATTACTCTTTTTCTTTTTTTGAGAAAGGTTATTGCTCTGTTGCCTAGGCTGGAATAATCTAGTGGCATAATCCCGGCTCACTGCAGCCTTGATCTCCTGTGTTCAGCGTTCCTTCTGCCTCAGCCTCGTGAGTAGCTGGGAGAACAGGCACGCACCACATCTGGTTATTTTCCCCCACGTGTGTGTGTGTGTGTGTGTGTAGAGATGCATGTGTGTTAGCGGCGGTGGTGGTGGGGTTCCCCCTATGTCGCCCAGTCTGGTCTCAAACTTCTGGCCTCAAGCATCCTCCTACCTCGGCCTGTTAGTGTTGGGATTACAGGCGTGAGCCACCGAGCCCAACACTAATAATTCTTAAAGACTATTCTGGGCCGGGCGGGGTGGCTCACGCCCGTAATCCCAGCACTTTGGGAGGCCGAGGCGGGCGTGGGGGTGGGGGCGGGGATCATCTGAGGTCAGGAGTTCGAGACCAACCTGGCCAACATGGAGAAACCACATCTCTACTAAAAATACAACATAGCCAGGCGTGGTGGCATGCACCTGTAATCCCAGCTACCCGGCGGCTGAGGGAGGCGGAGGTTGCAGTAAGCTGAGATCGCGCCGCTGCACTCCAGTCTGAGTGACAAGAGCGAGACTCCGTCTCTTTAATTTTTTTTTTTTAAAGACAGGGTTTCACCATGTTGGTCAGGCTGGTCTTGAATTCCCGACCTCACGTGATCCGCCCGCCTTGGCCTCCAAAGTGCTTGGATTACAGGCGTGAGCCACTACGCCCGGTCGACTCCGTCTCAAAAAAAAAAAAAAAAAAAGGCTATTTTGGTCTCTGCCTCCGGGAAGGCAGCTCGCTTCTCTTCTGTGCTTCCATTGCTCTCTTACAATTCTCTAATAAGTATAATCATGGAGAGCGCTTACCATATATTCCAATCTATTTACTTGCATAAGCTCATTTATTCTCCCCATAACCCTCTGAGGTGGTTACTAGTATTTCCTCTCTGCAGATGAGGGAATTTTGGGCTGGAGACGTCATGTAAGTTGAGCCACGGTACGCTGAAGTTCCACACTGCTCCTCTCCTGCGTCTAGGCTCTGGGCTACTGAGTTCCGGAGCGAGCTGACAGACCAGCTCTTTACGTTACTGGCGGTCACGCCCTGAGGGCGGGGCTCCGGTCGGGACACTAGGTCCCATGGTGCCTTGCGCGCCCGCGCAGCCATTGGTCTGGCTACTCGGCCCCTTTTTCAAATTGAGGCGCCGAGGCGTTTCTCGGTTTCTGGGACTTTGGGCGGAGACGAGATTGGTGATTTGGTGGCACTGGCTGGTGCGGGACCAACGCCACGGCCAGAGTACCGGGTGGAGAGCGGGGACGCCGAGGTGCGCGCGTCAATCCTCCAGGCCACGCCGGTGCCCAGCACGGGCCAGGGAGACTCAGGCTCCCGTCTGCCGCCAAGCCCCTAAGCGCCCCACGGCGCCCAAGGCTGCGGCCAGGCGTTGATTTTTTGGCGGGGACCCGTCATGGCGTCGCAGCCAAATTCGTCTGCGAAGAAGAAAGAGGAGAAGGGGAAGAACATCCAGGTGGTGGTGAGATGCAGGTAGGGAGAGGGCTGACAGGATTCCGAGCCCCGGGGCTTTGCTGCTGGGCCTCCTCCTGGGCGGTTCAGGGAGAGGGATTTTGTTTGCATTTCCTGAGGGTCCCAGTTTCTTTGTTGTCCGCGTTCTATTCAATAAAAATGACACCCGGTTGTTGTGTGTGTCTGATTTTCAGGAGAAAATAGGATGTTTGATTTGATCACTGTTCCATACTGAAAAGTGCGTTCTTATTTTAAACTATAGTCAATAAAGATTTAGGTGTCACTTTTGTATGCTACTTCGTGGAGTTTGTCAGTTTGGATGTAAGACTGAATACCTGTTTTGCAGATGGTTTAGCCCTTACGTTGGTATTATCACCTCTAAAAAGCAATCAATCACTTATTATCTTTATTCTAGATGCAATATTTTCTTCATCCCTACTAAACAAGTAAACATTAAGTTATAAAGTGAGTTTATAAAAGATCAAGGCAATTTAAGCTAGTGTAAATTTCTGATTGTGCTGCAGTTTTCCTTTTCATCTGCCTGTTTATTCATAGACCAAATTAACGGATTTTTCGTGATAAGGGGATGTGGAGGGGTGTTCGGCTCTCCCCTGACTGGTTTCCAAATAACTTCTTAATTTTAAAATGAGCTAGAAACTGTTGCTTAGTTAGAATTGATTTATTCAACTTTTTAGAGGCTCTCCACAGTTTACTGAGTATGTGTGTTTTGTGTGTCTGTTTTTGTGGCTGTTGTTAATCGTTGCTGTTGCAACTTTTGTGTAAACGTTTCTAAACTAGGTGCAAGAAAGGAGATTTGGTAGCAATCCTAAATCTGGCCAGTGACACTTACCAGCTGTAATCTGGGCCTCTTGCTTGTTTTGAAGATTTTTATTTAAAAATGCAGTGCATATAACAAGTGCAAATTTTAAAATTATTTTGATTGTTTAATAAAACCAGGCAATATTACCTTTTCCGTGTGCCTTTATTTGGTTTCTTTTTTTAATATTAGTTACAAAATATTTCAGACTTAGAAAAAGTTATTAAGAATAATGTAATAAACATTTGTGTTCATAACTCAGATTAAGAAACAAAACAATCATTGCTGGAGCCCCCTCTTTCCCCTCTCCATTCCTTTTCCTCTGCCCACAGTTAACCATTATCTTGAACTTGATGTTTATGATCTGCATATATTTCAAGCCTTGCCATAGAAGAGATTTACTTTATAACCAATGAATAGAATGGTACTTTGCTTGTGACTTGTGTATTGTAAAAAAGAAATTTACAATAATTTTTATGTAAAGAGTTTTTTTTTTTTTTCTTTGAGATGGAGTTTTGCTCTTGTTACCCAGGCTGGAGTGCAATGGCGCGATCTCGGCTCACCGCAACCTCCGCCTCCTGGGTTCAGGCAATTCTCCTGCCTCAGCCTCCTGAGTAGCTGGGATTACAGGCACGCACCACCATGCCCAGCTAATGTTTTGTATTTTTAGTAGAGGCGGGGTTTCACCGTGTTGACCAGGATGGTCTGGATCTCTTGACCTTGTGATCCACCCGCCTCGGCCTCCCAAAGTGCTGGAATTACAGGCTTGAGCCACCGCGGCCGGCCTAAGAGTTTTTTTTCTTTTCAGATTAGCCTTTTTTTTTTTTTTTTTTTTAAGATGGGGTTTCTCCATGTTGGTCAGGCTGGTCTTGAACTCCCGACCTCAGGTGATCCGCCCCCCCTTGTCCTCCCAAAATGCTGGGATTACAGGTTCAAGCCACCAGGCCCAGGTAGCCTTTTTCTTTCTTTCTTTCTTTCTTTTTTTTTTTTGCATGCACTTAGGGTATATGTCTTCTTTCAAATAGCCTTCCTGGTACAAGTTTGTTATTAAGCTTTAGTAAACAGGCAACTTAGGAGTTATGAGGTCCTTGGGTTGGCAAGCCTTTTCTGTAAAGGACCCGGATAAATAAATAGTTATTTTATTTAAATACTCTAGGCTTTACAGGTCATGCATGGTTTATTTTTTTTGAGACAGAGTCTTGCTCTGTCACTCAGGCTGTAGTGCAGTGGTGCGATCTCAGCTCACTGCAGCCTCTGCCTCCCAGGTTCAAGCAATTTTCCGCCTCAGCCTCCCAGGTAGCTGGGACTATAGGTGCATACCACCATGCCTGGATAATTTTTGTGTTCTTAGTAGAGACTGGGTTTCTCGATGTTGGCCAGGCTGGTCTCAAACTCCTGACCTCAGGTGATCCGTAGGATTACAGGTAGGAGCTACCACACGCGGGCACATGTGGTTTCTTGAACATTATTTTCTGACCCTTTTTTTTTTTTTTTAACAACCCTTTAAAACTGTAAAAATCATTCTTAAATCTTTGGCAGGGCAAGGGCCAGGTTCAACCTACAGGTTAAAGTTTATAGACCCCTGAATAATGTGCTACTAGCTATCTTTCTTATACCCCTTCTATTCCCTCCCCTATTTTTTCCCAATTTAAAAAATTGTTTTCAAATACACATAAATTACCATCTTAACCACCTTTAAGTGTACAGTTCAATGATATTAAATACATAATAGTATTCTGCAATCATTACTGCCATCCATCTCCATAACTCTTTTCATCATGAAAAACTGAAACTCTATACACATTAAACAATAACTCCCCATTTCCCTCTCCCCTCTCAACCCCTGACACCTACCATTCTACTGTCTATGATTTTGACTACTCTAAGTACTTCTTGTAAGTGGAGTTGTAATACAGTATTTATCCTTTTGTGACTTGCTTATTCCCACTTTGCATGATGTCCTCAAGGTTCAACTATGTCGTAGCAAATATCAGAAAGTTTCCTTCTTTTTTAAGGCTGAATAGTATTTATTATATGCATATACCACATTTTGCTTATCCCTTCATATGTCAGTGGACAATTGAGTTGCTTCTTCATTTTAGCTATTATGAATAATGTTGCTACGAATATGGGTTTTCAATTTTCAATTCTTTTGGGTATTTACCAATAATTGTAATTGCTATATGATAATTCTATTTTAAATTTTTGAGGAACCGACAAACAGTGGCTGGACCATTTTACATTCCCACCAACAGTGCATAAGTGTTCTAACTTTTCCATAGTCTCACCAACATTATTTTCTGTTTCTTTTTTTTTTTTTTTTTTTTTTTTTTTAAAGTAGCCATACGATTGGGTGTGAGGTAGTATCTCATTGTAGTTTTGATTTGTATTTCCCTAATGATTAATGATGTTGAGCAGCTTTTCATGTGTTTATTGGGCATTTGTATATCTTTGGAGACATGTCTATTTAAGTCCTTTGCTCATTTTTAAATTGATTTACTTTTTTGTTGTTGAGTTTTAGGAGTTTTCTATGTATTTTGAATGTTTTCAGATATATGAGCTGCAAAAATTTTTTCGCCATTACTGTGGGTTGTCTTTTTACTTGTTGATACTGTCTTGTCTTTTCCTTTTATTTTTTCTTTTTGGAACCAACGAATGGCCTCCTCTTTGCTGATTCTGTGTTTGGCCCCAGTGCAGCCTGTTCTACATTCCCCATCTGCATTGCTGAAACCAGGCCTATCCAGCACCACGTAGAAATCCAGGCTGTAGATATTAATGCATGGGTCACATTTGATACCCAAATCTCTGTGTTACTGGATCTCCAAACCAAAGTTTCCAGTATCCAAGAAGTTGTTCTTTCTTAATTCACACTCCTGTACCTTTAGACCTTCCTCCAGGATTTTTTCTGCTTTGGGCCTTCACACTGTGTACTGGGTGGCAATCTATTCATTTCTCCTGATACCAATGGATCTGTTAATGTATCTAGCTTTGGGGAACACAGGGGTTTGGCCTATGAACTGCTCCAACACCTTGGCTGCCAGAGTCAGTTGTCTTTAGTCTCCTCCCCACAGATGTTGAGAGAATCTTGCTCTGTCACCTAGGCTGGAGTGCAATCTTGGCTTACTGCAACCTCTGCCTGCCAGGTTCAAGCAATTCTTATGCTTCAGCCTCCCAAGTAGCTGGGATTACAGGTATGTGCCACCATGCCTGGCTGATTTTTTGTATTTTTAGTAGAGATAGGGTTTCACCATGTTGATGAGGCTGGTCTTGAACTCCAGACCTCAGGTGATGTTCCTGCCTTGGCCTCCCATAGTGCTGGGATTACAGGTGTAAACCACCATGCCTGGCCTTTTTTTTTTTTTTTTTTCTGCCTTTAAAGATAGTATCTTGCTTTATTGCCCAGGCTGGTTGTGAACTCCTGGGCTCAAATAGTCCTCCTTCCTCAGCCTCCCAGGTAGCTGGGATTACAGAGATGCTGTCTTTTGATACACAAACTTTTTACATTTTTATGAAGTCCAATTTGTCTTGTTTTTGTGGCCTGTGCCTTTGGTGTTATATCCAAGAAATCATTGCCAAATCTATTGTTGGGAAGCTTTTGCTTTATGTTTTCTTCTAAGAGTTTTATAGCTTTAGGTCTTACATAAAGTTTTAATCCATTTTGAGTTAATTTTTGTATATTGTGTTAGATAAAGGTCCAACCTCATTCTTTTGCATATGGATATTTAGTTTCCCAGCACCGTTTGTTGAAAAGATTGTCTTCTTTCTTTCTTTCTTTCTTTTTTTTTTTTTTAGGCAGAGTCTTGCTCTGTCGCCTAGGTTGTAGTGTGGTGGCATGACCTCGGCTCACTACCACCTCTGCGTCCTGGGTTCAAGTGATTCTCCTTCCTCAGCCTCCCAAGTAGCTGGGACTACAGGCGACCGCCACCACACCCAGCTAATTTTTGTATTTTTAGTAGAGACAGGGTTTCACCATGTTGGCCAGGCTGGTCCCGAACTCCTGACCTCATGATCCGCCTACCTTGACCTCCCAAAGTGCTTGGATTACAGGCATGAGCCACTGTGCCCAGTTTTTTTTTTCCTTTTTAAGACGGAGTCTCACACTGTTACCTAGGCTGGAGTGCAATGGCGTGATCTCCTATCACTGCAACCTCTGCTTCCCAGGTTCACGTGATTCTCCTGCCTCAGCCTCTGAGTAGCTGGGATT